TTTTACTCTGAATGGCAGAACCACTTTTCTCCGTCAAAACACATCCCACGTAGTTTGACTGAGAGTGTTCGAAGTACTGAAATACATGTTCCGTTCTTCTTAACCGTTGAAAATAGTTATAGCCTATCATAAACCCAGAAATAGTAGGTTTATGAGGCCAAAGAAATTGAGAAGAATTATATTGATATTGTTGTCACCATAACTGATTTAGCGGGCTTCGGTGACGTCTCATACCGTGCTTCATTTTACCTCTGTCAGTCACGCAGGTGCAGAGTTTGACGACAAGTTCAGATAATCCGTTTTCACCTTTGTAGACATGCACTGCCTCTCTAGACATTGCGCGTTAGACGTTGGCTTTTGCACTGTTCCCTCAGGTATTAGGTCATCTACTTGTTTTCCAGTGCCATCCAGGGATCAGGATGGCGTTCTGGGATTCAAAATGATTTCGTTTAATGGACGTCCCATGCAGATTTAACTCTTCGCCTGCAGGGAAATGCCCATTCAGTTCTCAGTTGATAGCATCGAACATAGCTGAGTGATTTCAATGCTCAGTAAAAAAGTGACAAAAATTTTAACGCAGTTTGCATTCAAATCGCCAACTTTGTTATAACGTCTAACAAATATCCTGCTCAACAGCTAGTCATCAGTAATTCTTTAAACGATGTTCTATGATAAGAATAAAAATACAAGTTAACTAGACAGATCATATTATAGGCGAATGTCCTTGAAAAACTCATTGATTCAGGGTCGATAATTCGTCAGCAGGTTGCGTGATACATATTCTTTACACTTCCTGAAAAATGCAGGTCGTATGTGGCATCGCCCAGTGACAACATGTAATGCCGGAATCAAAGGATTTACCATCCTCACAGAACATTTCTTCAAAGCTCTTATTTGCCCACAATGCTAAACTGTAAACTGCTATGCGTCAGGTGAAAATTAAACAAACCACCAGATAAAAGACCTTAAATTCCATTTTACCTGCAAAGTATCAGAAGAAGTCAGAAAATATTTAATTAAAGGGACTATTATAAAATTGGGGTGGCAGGCTTGTCCATTCAGATAAACCAGGTAACCCTCAATGTGGTTCATCCTCATCACCCATGAGTCCTTCTCCCTTCGGGTCGCGGAGGCATACGCGTCAGACAGTGGTTTCTAACGTTCCTGATCCTGTACCACAGTCTGAGCTTCCGAAGAAGACAACTGGAGTTGAACAGACTTCTACCATATATTTCCACCAGGTTAAATTTAGCCGTCCACTGGGCCTTCTCTCGGTCGGTTTCGCAAGAAACAGTTGCTTAGCCTTACGTTTGGAGGCATTCGCAGCACATGGCCAAACCATCGCAGCTGAGACTTCTCAATCTAAAGAAGCAAGGGCTATACACCAAGGTTTTTTTCGGATGTCACTGTTCCGGACCATGTCGAGACGCGTAAAGCCAGCGACTCGTCTAAGAAAGCCCATTTCAG